CCCTTACTAAAATTCCTGATAGGGGATGGCAGGCTACCTGGTTTAATAGGAGATGAACTTCCTCAAGTGAGAAGACCAGGGACTGGAGTTCAACCTTGATATTTACTATTCCTGTGACCTTGAGATGTTAGTTATTGAACTCTATGACCTGGATTTACCAACTATTTGACTCACCTATACAGGACTAAGATTCAGCTGATTGGGCCACATCAGTTATTAAAATATTAAATACTACCATACAGAGTGGTGAGTCCTCTTCCCCTGATCTGCAATGTGCCACCCTAACCACCTTTATCCCTCCCCTGGAACCCCAGGATCTCCCCAAATAGTAACCAGAGGACTGATGTACCTTGGGATCATTGCACCTCACTATGGCCCTATAGCTGACACCTCTTCTGATTAGTGAGCACACTCCTGTCCCCCCTGCTGATTCACACTGTGGGTAACATTGTGAATATCACCCCTTACTCTACTGTAGGATCGGGTAACACCAAATGATATGGTTCACATGAAAACACTTTGCAAACTGGAAAGGGCTGAATACAGATTCATCCTATCCATAATTCCTGGGAAGGGATAGGAGCCCAGAAGAGGGCAGGGGCATATTTTGTAGTTGTAGCTCATGCGTGCGCGCTAAGTCACTGAAGTCGTGTCCAACTCTTTGCAGACCCTATGGACTATAACCTTCCAGGCTCCTGTGTCCTAGAGATTCTCCAGGCAAGAATACTGGAGTTGGTTGCCAGGTCCTCCTCCAGGGATCTTCCCCATCCAGGAATTGAACCTGTACCTCTTCTATCTCCTGCACTGGCAGGCAGGTTCTTTGTCACTAGCGCCAGCTGGGAAACCCCAGTTGTAACTCACCCTCTACTTAATTGAAGGCTGAGGAAGGGCTTGGTGGGGAGTCTGAGAGGCTCATGAGCTGCCTGAAAAGAGCCCCCACATAAGCTTGCATAGACCTCAGGCTGGCAAGAGGGAATGGTTCTCATAAGCATCCTTAAAGTGACTTGTCCAGATTCCTGCCTGCAGCAGCCTGGGGTTCAGTTTGCAGCTCTTTGAATCCCACACACTCTCAGCCGTGCTTCTCTGGCCAGCCCTATCGCTCACAATTAGAAGCCCATTTTACTGGAACTCAGCTGTGCAGCAAGCCAGCACCTCCCCCACCCCCCCAACCAGGTAGAATGAGAGCAGCCGGGGAGTGAAGGGCAAGGGGAGGAGAGCAGGCTCACCCGAATGAGGGTTTGCACAATCCGGCATTTATGGAAAATTGGATGTGCTAATGAACCTGAGATCCATCAGGGCTTTCTGAAGGCAGGACGGTTTCTGTCAACAGACCAATTAGCACACAATTATTTTCTCTTTCTGAAAGCTTATCTGAGGCTCTCTTTGAGCTGCACTTTCCATTACCTCCGCGGCCCTCTTTATAATCCACCAAAGCTGTCTGCCTCTTCTACAGGGAGAGACACAGGTTTCCTGGACCAACCTGCCAGGGACTCTGGGACTTTCATCACTCCGCAGGTCTGGGGGTCCTCGACTCATCCCGCCTGTCAAGTCAGTGCTTAGGCGCCATCTGCAAGAGGACCGTCTGCAGCTCCCCTCCTGCTTCCCACCTCCTTGCTTCTCTGGGAGGTCAGAGGTGGCTCGGGGCAGAGGAGCCATAGAAAGGGCAGTGACTCTGGGATCTGGTAAAACCTGAGCGAGCCTTCCTCACTGCTGGAGATCTGGCTTGAATCATTCCCTCTAACAAGAAATGAACAAGGGGAATCGCAGTTTCTGTCTCTTCCTCCTTCCCATCCTTGTGCTGCAATTAACAAAGTAGAGCTACGCACACCCTTTCAATGACTCACCTAATTGATTGTTCTCTTTAGAACTGACCTTTGGAAATGGGCAAGTAAAGGTCAGAAAATTGCATGGGAGCTGGCCCCAGAATGTTTAACAAGATGGTGGTGGGGTTCGGGAGGAGGGCAGATGAATTGGTGGCAGAGAGGGAGGGACAGGGGTGGAATGAAAGAGCGGAAAGTTGCGGTGCTCTGTTCACCCTCTCAGGAGTGGTCCTACTTCTGCATAAGGCATGTAGCTTTCTCCCTGCATGGACCTGATGCTGGTGAGTGTTCAACTCGGGAGTGGGTGGATAGAAAAGCCAGTGCAGAACTCACTGACAGTGTGGTGGCCTGCTTACCTGGAGGCGGGGACAGGCAAACCTCCCAAATACCACAGACCCCCATCCCACTCTTTCAGCCCACTCCATTCCAAGAGAGACAGGCTTCCCCGAAAAGCTGGGCTAGTCCTTGGCCACAGCTCCTATAGGAATTTTTGCACCATATAAAGAAATAATCCTGGTTCTTCCTTCCCACTGCAGTAGCCAGTCACCAACTCACTCAATACAGAGACATTATTCAGCACCAAGTGCCCACCTATGGAGGGAGGCAGGCTGTGTGTAACACGGGGATTATGTCAGTATAACATGTTTCCACTTGTCTGTAAACTCCTTATGGTAGTGACTGGCTCACTGTGAGTTTTGGATTCTCCTGGAATATTTCATAAATGAATAAATGAGTGAAAGAATGAATGAATGAGTCAAATGAATCGTAGCCCTGCAGCTGACTGTGTGACCTTGAAGAAATCACTTAACCTATCTGGTCTTGATTTCCTCATCTGTAATCATAATATCTAAAGTCTTCTGATACAATGCATAAAATAGGTAACTCATGAGAACCTACTATATAGCACAGGGAACTCTATCCAATGCTCTGCGGTGACTTAAATGGGAAAGGAAATCCAAAAAAGAGGGGATATGTGTATATGTATAGCAGATTCACTTTGCTGTACAGTAGAAATTAACATAACACTGTGAAGCAAATATATCCCAATAAAACATAAAGTCTCTACAATTTGTCTTATGCCATGTTCACCTTCTGCAGAGAGGGTAGATCACTAAAATGTTTTGGATGAGCTGGTCTGTTGACACTTGTTTTTTAGAGTGATGCTGTCTATATGGGTTTAACTCCATTGTCTGCAGCCCTCTGATATGCCCTCACAGGAGACACTGGGGCCAGGAACTGAAGTCTGAGGATTCCGAAGTCAAAATCCTATCTCATCTACTCAATAGCTCTGAGTCTTTGGGCCTAGTATCTTCCTAAACCTTGTATCTTTCCCTGAAACATGATAGTAGTGCGATCTATCTCAGAGTTAGTGTGAAGGTTAAATGGGATGATCTTGGAGGATGAGCTTGGAAACTGTAGAGGGGTTTCCTGCCTCTGTCATAGCCTTGATCCTATTCCCCATCCAGGCTGGGTCTTGCTGCTTCTCATGCACAGGGTCTGTTGCTTGCCCTGTAGTCTTTCTCTTCTCTCTTATCCTTTAAGACCAATTTATGGATCACCTCCTCCATGAAGCCTTCTCATACTACTTTAAGCAACATTTTTTCCCTTCTCTCTCTTCACTGTATTAGTATCACACCACCTGTCATTTACTCTGTTCCATGTGTAGTTTTCAGGACTAACTATACTAAATTCTCTTTAACGATGTCACTTATACTTTGGAATTCACTGTGATAACTTGCAGAGTGGCAGACACATTACATCTCACACTTATCAAGCCCATATGTTGTAGATCATGCCGCCCCTTCTTTTTCTGAGAGTACTTCCCCTCCATTCTCTTCCTGTCCATGTTTTACTCATCTTGAAGGAACAACTCAGTTGCTCTCTCCTCTGAAACTCCTTCCCTTGCTTAGAACTGCACTTTCCTCAGGGCTGGTTACGACATGTTACCTCTTCTCCACCAGGAGGTGTATCAATCAGTTGGATATGTACCTGTCTTCCCACAGGTTGTAACCTCCTGGAGGACACACAGTATAACCTGTACATCTTTGTGCCCACCTCTCCACCCCTCAAAGCCCGAAACATATTACACACACTCTAATTTATTGAGTACATATTAGGTGCCAGCCACTGTGTTAATTGCTGTTAACAACCTCATGAGCAAAATAACTATGAGCTTACCTCTGTGGAGCCTTTCATGTGTGGAGGACTCAGGCTTTAAATACTTGCAGGAAAGGATGGAAAACTTCAAGTCGTCTGCTTGCTGCAGAGCAGAGGTGCCTGGAGCTAGGAGAGAAGGTCAGAGGTATCAGAGCCGACTTCCTTGAAGAACTCTGAGAAAGGCACTCTATGAAGGTTTGATAAATTGCAGGGAATTGAACAGTGGCTACCCAATAAATACCAGTTGATTGGTTGATTGATTGTTGGCAGAGCCTCCAGAGATCCTGAAAAGAAAGGGCCTCAGGTCCCCATCAGTCTTATTACATAATTATTTCAGTGCATTTAAAGCTCCCCATTTTTCATCTTATACTTTAAACATCAAGGAAAAACCGATAGTCCAACTTTATAATATTTTAAAATGATTCTGTGGTGTTTTGGAATATTACATAGCTATAAGAGATTATGTATATTTAATATACTTATTAAAATATGCAGTAAGCCCATGGCTGATTTTCTCTAAGGACGTCTCAGTGCCGAGGTGGGACTTAAATGTTTAATATTAATAATAATACTCATAACTCATATTTCTCTAGTGCATTTCATCTTCAGGATCCCTAAAGCCTGTGAGCACCACATCAAGTGGCTACAGCTGGGCTGGCCAATGGGCTGACAGCATCTGCATCTGGCCTCCTGTCTTCCTCTGGGGGAGGAGATGGGAGAACTCCAGTGTGGAGGCTCAGCTTCCTCTTCCTACACTGTTTCTTTTTTTCAGACACAAAGTCCCCCTGGGTCCTCTGAAAGGCTTCCACTTCCGGACAGCTGCCGCTGCCAGCCCTGCACCACTGATATTCCCTGTCTCAGAGCAAGGGGAAAAGTAGCTTCATGCTCCCAGGGTAGGAAGAGCCATGTCCTTCCTTGGGCCAGTCCAGGACAGGACACAGAGCCTAAGAATGGCTGACCGGAAGACGGAAGTGCAAAGGGAAAGTCTCTGCTTGTTGTCTAAACCCACCCTTCCTTCTCTAGGTCACGGAGACCCGGACCGGCCCCCTGGGCTGCAGCAACTACGACAACCTGGACTCAGTCAGCTCCGTCCTGGTACAGAGTCCAGAGAACAAGGTGCAGTTACTCGGTAAGGTACCCTGTGATGATTTTCACACTTTCCATAGCTGGTTAAAAAAAAAAAAGGTTTAGATCACCCAAAGGAAAAGGTCCCATCTGCCTCATTTGGCTAGACCCTTCCAAAGACAAAAACTACCCCTAGTTCTGGGACCTATAATTAACAACTTTCCGTCACTCTTTGGAGAAAACTTCTGATGTGGTTTACTTTACACCTCAACCATTGCTCAAACCACTCGACACCCGAATCCTCCTACCTCCTAGTCCTGCCCCAGATCTCTGTCACTATCCTATAGCAAGAGCACTCCCATCCTTCTGTGCCTTGGTCTAGCTGGGCAATCTCCCTTGTTGTCCAAAGAACCCTCTGCGGAACAGCTGATCTTTGCAGAGTGATCATGGGACATCGTCTCTAGCTCGACTAAGAGCTACACAAAATGTGGGACTACTGGTTATCCTGAGAATGGTCCCTACTTTTTGTTACTAGTCTGCATCCTTCCATGGGAGATCAAAGCCAGGAGACGAGTTTGAAAGGAGTGGGAGCCTCAACCGGGGACAGAACAAGCAGAAACAGAAAAGCAGAAGGAACAGGAATGACACAAGGTCTGGAGGCTGGGAGATAAGGGGATGCACTCAGGTGTCCCCCAAGCATCCCCAGGCAGAGCTATGTAGATGGAGTCAGAGCTGTTTGGCAGTGGGGAACGTGCATTCTTCTTAAGGCCTAACTGAATTGTACTCTGTTTAAGATATGATTGTCTTGGTATTATAAAATCAATAGCCCTCACCTAGGATCTACGATGACAAATTCCAGCCAACCTGAGTTAGACGCAACCCCTGAATGCTTTAGGCATCAAGAAACATAATAAAAAAGGAGGAAAAGCCTCCTTTCTTTAAAGCCTCGCAATGCGATGCAATTAGCATCCCTCTTCTCCTAGGTCCCTGGATGGGCTGGGTTTGTTTCTGGAAATTAGCAATGAGTGAAGTTCAGAGTGTCTGGTGGTTCATTTGGAATGGTTTATGCCGTTTAATTTTATAACCCATCACTCATGCAGACATTGCTCAGGGCACTTATTTTATAGCAATAGGAAATGTTATGGGGAGGAGGAGGGAGCTAATGGGGGAGGTGAAAGGAAAGGGCTTGGAGAGGGGTGAGTGTGGGAAGCAAGCACATGTGGACAGGGTACATGGGGAGGGCTGCTCAAGTGCCACTGCAGGGACATGGTCAAGAAAGGAAAACGTAGGAGCAGTTCTGGACAGGAGTAGGTCTCTAACAAGAGCAACAAACATCCACTGCAGCTGCAATTCTAAGTTTTATTTTAAGGTCTGCTGACACCGGGATACATCCTTTGGACTCTCTGACTTCCTGCCAAGGTCAAGGGTGTGATGATAAAGAGCCGGCAGATATTTGATGAAAGGGGAGCCCGTCCCATCCAGAAGTCCTCTTGTCCCTCACTCTCCTGGCACAGTGTCTCCTAGGGTCCCTATTCAGGGAGCCTCCTGTGGGTCTGATCTCGAACCTGGCCAGCTTGCATCCCAAGGTGTGCCTATGATTCATTCACCTATTCATAGGCTAGAAGCCAACTAGGAGTCTATCCTGCTGCTGATAAACCAATATCCACCACTCCAGTGGTGCTAGTGGTAAAGAACCCACCTGCCAATGCAGGAGACACAAGAGACATGGGTTAGATCTCTGGATTGGGAGAAGGGCATGGCAACCCTCTCCAGTATTCATGCCTGGGAAATCCTATGGACAGAGGGGCCTGGTGGGCTATAGTCCATAGGATTGCAAAGAGTCAGACATGACTGAAGTGACTTTGTAAGCAGGCACCACAGATGGGTAGGAAAACTGAATCTTGGAGTAACTGAGTGGATTATATTCAAGACCAGAGGAAGCTAAGAGCTGAGAGGCATTCATATCTAACTTGGAGCATCTACCACCACCTTGCTTTCAAATCTCCTCAAGAGTGAAAGTGTGAGATGGGCAGCCAGTCCCAGTTGTGCAGTAGGACCCAAGGGACAAGGGCACAACCTGGCTTTACTAGCACTGTGCTTTGGGCAGACCACTGTGCTCATGAGAATTGGACTTCCTCACCTGTAAGAGCCTCAGTATGACCACAAGTGTTACCTGCAGTCATATACGGGAAGTATTACTTAGTGTCATACCTGGCCACTACATACCCACAACACCTGTCCCTACCTCCTAAGCAGGGCAGCCTCCTTGGTCTTCAGGGCTAAGGTGGCAGGCCTAGGAGGGTCAGCATTTAGTAATATCCTAGGAGGCCCGCTGCTCATCTCAGAGAAGTTAGAGATAGAATGGCTCTTAGAGGCAGAGCAAGAAGTCCAACAAGCCTTGATGATTTACCCCCATGAAGACTCTAAGCTCTTCCTTTATCTGAAATACCATCATATTTCCATCCTAGAAATGCTGATGTGTAGCCAAGAAGCCCGTTCATATGATAGGCACGTTCTCAATTTGGCTGATGTGAGGGTTCAACTAAGCCCTGAGCTTTGATGTACCCCATCTGTCACAGGGGTAGCAGTAACCCTCTATCCCAACCAGCTTAGCAGGATCAGGCCTGGGGTGCACATCCTTGAACCCAGGATGCTCACGTCAGCAGAACTCCAGCCGGGGACTCTGTAGCCTCGGGTGTGGGAAAGTGAGTACCCACTGGTCCCGCCAGGCAGTTTTCCCTGATACATCTTTTCCTTAGGCCTGCAGGTGCTGCTGCCCGAGTACCTGCGTGAGCGCTTCGTGGCTGCTGCGCTCAGCTACATCACTTGCAGCTCCGAGGGTGAGCTCATCTGCAAGGGGAATGACTGTTGGTGCAAGTGCAGACCCACCTTTCCAGAATGCAACTGTCCTGACGCCGACATCCAGGCCATGGAGGACAGCCTGCTGCAGATCCAGGACTCCTGGGTGACTCACAACCGGCAGTTCGAGGAGTCAGGTGAGCAGTGGGTTGGCCCAGGTTTCCTCCCTGTGAATGGGAGGAGGCCATGAGGTACTCCACGGGACACTCAGCTTGGTTCCTGACTCAGCCATGTCACTGGTCTGTAACCTCCAGCAGGTTATATCACCACCCCAAGTCGCAGTCGTTTTCTTTTGTTGTATATGCAAATAGACCTAATAACCTACCAAAGAGATGCATTTCAAGGACCTAATAAGCTAAGGTAAATATAATCAAGGCCATAGACCTCATCTATCTTATTTGCCACAGATTCCACAGTGCCTGCATGTTAGGTGCACAGTGAATATTTGCTGAATGAGTGAGGTGCATAGCATGTTTCTAGCAGTCACTAGTTCATGCTGGTGATTGCTTAGTGCAAGTATAACTGATATCAGTGTCACCTTGAGACTTAGATTCAGAGGACTGGGTTTTGAGTTCTTATTCTGTGATATGGATTGAATGTTTGTGTCTCCGCCCCCCAATTCATATGTTGAAAATCTAATGCCCAAGGTGATGGTATTAGGAGGTGAGGGCCTGGGGAGGTGATTAGGTCATGAGAGCAGAATCTTCATGAATGGGACTGGCACTCTCATATAAAAGGGTTCCCAGAGAGATCCCTTACCTCTTCCACCACATGAGGACCCAGCAAGAATTTGGCCATTTTCAGCCCAGGAGAGGACCTTCACCAGAACCTGGCCGCAGCCTCTTGACCTTGGACTTCCAGCCCCTGGAAATACATTTTGGTTGTTTATAAGCCATCCATTCTGCTCTGTTTTGCTGTAACATCTTGGGCAGACCTAGTACTCTCTATTACTGACCCTTTGTAGGACTTTGATTTAGCCATGCAGCCACTCAATGCCTCCATTTCTTCATCTGTAAATGTTGGAAAATGATAGTAATCGGTGGATGGATGACTCATATGGAACAATGTGGATAAAATTATGAAGAACTCTGCATGATATACATTTCACTACTACATGAATAATAGTTATGTGGATATGTCTCAGAAAACAATATTGGATAAAACAAGGCAAATGAAAAAGGCTATGTGTTATATACATATTTATATTTATATAATGCTTATATAATAATATAATATAATAAATTATTAACATAATGCATATTTAGTACTATTTACTTGAATTAAAACCATACTAGCCAATACTTAGTATTTTCATGGATAAATGTATTCATAGAAAATGTTAAAAAATATATGATAACGATAAAGAAAACATTCAAGAGAGTAGTTACATCTAGATAAAGACAGAGGGGAAGTTTAGGGCCTTCAAGTATATTTGCTTTGCCTATTTCTTCAAAAAAATCTGAATTCAATATAGCAAGATGGCAAGATCTAGGTGGTGGACTTGTGGCAGTTCATTTTGTTATTCTCTGTGCCGTTTTGTATGCTTAAGTGTTTTATAAGCAGAACTATGCATGTACTAGCTGTTAATGTCATTACTAGGTGTGATTTTTCCAGTCATCTGGGTGGGGGATGAAGAACCAGGGGCTGGAGAAATCAGAATGAATGGAGGACCCAGGCACTGCCAGCTCGTCTTAGACAAGGTATTCAGTAGCTGAGGAGAATAGCAACCCTGGCTCCATTGGACCAGTGGTGGTGGCATCAGGCTGGTAGTATGGGTAGGTAGTTGAGATGGTAGTGGGATGCTTGAGTGTGTAGGCGAGGACTTTGGGCTTTCAGCATTATGAGTTTCTGCTAATGAGTGAAGGAGGGCTATTTGGACCTATCAGGAGACCTGATGGCTGCAGGTCCTAAGTAAAACCAGATTTGTGGACAGAGATCTGAGCATGACTTCAGAAAACACATTGTTCCCAGGAAGCTCTGAGGGGAACTCAGACTTGTAAGAGCTAAGAACCAAAAAGCACTCTGCTTCTCTGCTTCTGGACTAACTTCAAAAAAGTATGCATATCTAGCCAAAGTGTGTGTGTGAGTCGCTCAGTTATACCCAACTCTTTGCAGCCCCACAGACTATAGCCTGACAGGCTCCTCTATCCATGGGATTCTCCAGGCAGGAATACTGGATGGCTTGCCATTCCCTTCTCCAGAGGATCTTCCCGACCCAGGGATCGAACGCTGGTCTCCTGCACTACACACAGATTCTTCACTGTTTGAGCTACAGGAAGTCCTTAATCTGGTCAAGGGATGAATCTCAAAAGAGAGGAAGGATGTGCTAGAGTCAGAGAGAAGGATGTTGGGGGGAGAGGCTGGTCTCAGAAACTGAAAACCTTCTAAGGCTTCTGAGGTGGGTGTTCCATCTTCTGTGCCCACATTTGCCAGTCTTGCCCACCCTCACCTTAACCAGTGCCTCACACCTTCCCTAAGGGGGCTGTGGTGTGATCCAAGAAGGTTGTGCATAATTTATAAGGAGGTATTAATGGCAAAAGAGATGCACCGAAGGTCACTGGCCACATGGGTGGTGACAGAGCTGTGTTTTGAAATTCAGAAGCATATTAGAGATAGGATGGAGGGGGAAGAATCCTGGAGCCTTATCTTATGGTATGTCAATCATTTCTCAATAAAGCTGTTTAAAAAGAAAGAAATCAAAAGTCCTGGGAGAATGGTGTGAAGCCTCCTGCCTCATACAGCGATGGATGGGCAAGCTGGGTCTTGGGGGTAGGGGGGGCTCTTGTCCACCCAGGGTCTGAAGGGCACCCCCTCAGCTCAGCCCGTGTATCCTTACCCACAGAGGAATTCCAGGCCCTGCTGAAGCGACTGCCAGCTGACAGATTCCTGAACTCCACAGCCATCTCCCAGTTCTGGGCAGTGGACACCAGCCTCCAGCACCGCTACCAGCAGCTGGGAGCCAGCTTGCGAGTGCTGTTCAAGAAGACCCATCGCATCGTCCGCCGGCTCTTCAACCTCTGCAAGCGCTGTCACCGGCAGCCCCGCTTCCGTCTGCCCAAGGAGAGGTGAGCACCCGTGTGTCTGAGCCAGAGCCACACTGCCCACAACAGTGGCTGAGGCCCTGGAGGGCCCCTGTCCAACACGGCAGAGCTGGGTGTGCTGACCCACATGTGGCCTTTCAGAGGCTCCTGTTATCTTGACCTACTTGCGCTTCATTCTCAATTATGAGATGTGTCTGAAGTGAAAAAAAAAGAGAGAAGCTAATTTTACTTTTATATAAATTATAGTCAATTCGAATGTTACTCTAATAATACTCCCATTCTCACTCACTCATTTCCATTTTAATAAGTCTTTGAGGAAAGGAAAGGGTGGAGTTAAAGCTCACACACTGATTATGTGTGATGAGAAACACACAGTAGATCATTTCCAACAGCAGCTCTACTCTGAGTCACAGGAGTGAAGGGAGCTGAGGCCCTGTGTCCTTAGGAACAGAGAGGGCTGGGTCATCACTGGCCTTCAAGCATCCATCGCTCATTCACACATGCATTCAACAAGCCTTTGTTGAGTCTACCTTGTATGGCCTAAGATTAAGCAGTGAGGGTACTTGTTAATTGGGAAGACATAATAAATATATAGGAACATCAAAACTAAAAAATTATTACTATGCAGCAGCTATGTAAATTCATGTTGTGTGCTCAGTCGCTCAGTTGTATCCGACTCTTGTGACCCCACGGACTGCAGCCTGCCAGGCTCCTCTGTCCATGGGGATTCTCCAGGCAAGAATACTGGAGTGAGTTGTCATGCCCTCCTCCAGGGGATCTTCCTGACCCAGGTATCAAACCGGCATCTCTTACGTCTCTTCCATTGGCAGGCAGGCTCTTTACCACTAGCACCACCTGGGAAGCCCAAATTCATGTTAGTGATAGTGAAAGTCGCTCAGTTGTGTCCGACTCTTTGTGACCCCGTGGACTATACAGTCCGTGGAATTCTCCAGGCCAGAATACTGGAGTGGGTAGCCTTTTCCTTCTCCAGGGGATCTTCCCAACCCAGGGATCGAACCCAGATTGCCCACACTGCAGGCAGATTCTTTACCAGCTGAGCCGTAAGGGAAGAACATAAATCAAAGACATGTCCTGATAATATCAAAGGTCCAAGAGAAAAGCCACCTGGGAGAAGGATGTCTTGACCAGATTGTCCAGGAGGAGATGAAAGTGGTCTGGTGCTTGTGAGCCAGAGCACTCCAGGAGAGGGTGCTGCCCTCTCGGGAACCCAGAGGTGCACCTCTAACTGAGGCACAGGTGACAAGGGGCACATGAGTGGAAAGGACAGAGCAGCAAGGGCTTTTGCGAAAGGTTCTTTTTTCCCCCAAGAAATAGTTAGGAAATGCTTACCAGGCACCAGGAACAATCCTAGTTTCTGAAGATGTGTTGGTGAAGAATGCAGTGTCCCTGCTCTCATGGCATTTGCAGGAGAGCCGTCTCTGAACAAGTCAACGGTAAACAAACAGAATCCATTTTGATACTGATCGTGGCTGTGGATCACCTCAAAGCAGTATGATATGACAGAGAGGGGCTGGGTGGTGCTTTTAAGGGGAGTCACGGAAGACCTCTTTGAGGAGGTATCATAAAAACTGAAATCTAAATCTTAAGAAAGGGAGCCAACCATAGAGAAGTCCTGTCCTTGATGGGAGAGTTCTAGAAAGGACAGATCTACATTGTGAAGAGGGAAAAAGGTGGGCACATCATTGGGAGGTTTGGAGAGCCAGTTGTTGGAAGATCTTCATAAGAGGCTGAAAACGAGATTGGATATGGAAGACACTGAGCGCTTCTGTAGGCTTTTGAATGAGGGAATGAGGTGGTACTTGGGAGGGATGAGTGCAAATTTGATGTCAGACCTTTCTGATGCTGAAACATCAGACACCCAGCTCCAGGCCTTGCTGGTCATCCCAAAGTGGTACAGTAGGGTTTCCATCATTCAGAGGACCTGGGGCTTTTATCTGCCTCATCAACTTCCCTATTAGTCAGCCTCCTGGCACCCTCAGGGAAGCAGCAGTGTGTGGCTTCCTGTGACTCTTGTTTCATTTCTGTCTCCCCTTCCACAGGTCCTTGCCCTACTGGTGGAACCGTATCCAGTCCCTCCTCTACTGTGGGGAGAGCACCTTCCCCGGCACCTTCCTGGAACAGAGCCACAGCTGCACCTGCCCGTACGACCAGTCTTCCTGCCAGGGCCCCATCCCCTGTGCCTTGGGCGAAGGGCCCGCCTGTGCCCACTGCGCCCCAGACAACAGCACCCGCTGTGGGAGCTGCAACCCGGGCTATGTGCTCGCCCAGGGGTTGTGCCGCCCTGAGGTGGCCGAGTCCCTGGAGAACTTTCTGGGGCTGGAGACGGACCTGCAGGACCTGGAGCTGAGGTACCTGCTGCAGAAGCGGGACAGCCGCATCGAGGTGCACTCCATCTTCATCAGCAACGACATGCGTCTGGGCAGCTGGTTCGACCCCTCCTGGAGGAAGCGCATGCTGCTCACCCTCAAGAGCAACAAGTACAAGCCTGGGCTGGTGCACGTGATGCTGGCCCTGTCCCTGCAGATCTGCCTCACCAAGAACAGCACCTTGGAGCCTGTCATGGCCATCTACGTCAACCCCTTCGGGGGCAGCCACTCTGAGAGCTGGTTCATGCCCGTGAGTGAGGGCAGCTTCCCCGACTGGGAGAGGACTAATGTGGACGCAGCTGCCCAGTGCCAAAACTGGACTATCACCTTGGGCAACAGGTGGAAGACCTTCTTTGAGACGGTCCACGTTTACCTACGGAGCCGAATCAAGTCCCTGGACGACAACTCCAATGAGACAATCTACTACGAGCCCCTGGAGATGACCGATCCCTCCAAGAACTTGGGCTACATGAAAATCAACACCTTGCAGGTCTTTGGTTACAGCCTGCCCTTTGACCCGGATGCCATCCGGGACTTAATTCTCCAGTTAGACTACCCATACACGCAAGGTTCCCAGGACTCTGCCCTCTTGCAGCTCATCGAGCTTAGGGACCGGGTCAACCAGCTTTCTCCACCTGGCAAGGTCCGGCTTGACCTTTTCTCCTGCTTGCTCCGGCATCGGCTCAAGCTGGCCAACAATGAGGTGGGCAGGATCCAGTCTTCTCTGAGGGCTTTCAACTCCAAGCTGCCAAACCCTGTGGAATACGAGACCGGCAAACTCTGTAGCTAATGAGGGACCCACTGCAGTGCCGGGCAGGGAAGGGACCCACGAATCCAGGGTGTGGAGATCATCCAAGCCCTCACCTTAGTGCCAACAGGGTGCTTCCTGAAGACTGTCAGCACCCAGCAGATGGGACCTCGGGGCTTGGACTGAGGCAGGCAGGAGAGAGAGAAACAGCCACTACACACATGCACAATGCACGTGCCCACACACACACACACACTCTCGCACCAGGAGGCGACCGCTCAGCAGCCCTGAAGCTGTAAAGTCGGTGCTTTCTCAGATGAATGCAGTTGAAGGAGAGGAGCCAAGGGAGAGATTCAGTAAAAGAACCAGCCAAACCCAGCAACACACAAATCCTTGAAAGGGATTCTTATCATTTAAGAGAGCAAGACGGAACAACAACGGGAGGGGTAGGAACACTGCCTCCCCCTCTGTGGGGTCACTTTTGTATTCTTTTTAACCAGATTTCTTAAAATGGCGCTGTTTCATGATTCCCCCATGTTGGTTCTTTCTTTTTTGTACGCTGCCTCCACTGAGCTCTCCAGACACGGACTGCTCCTCCAGCGGCTCCCTTGGGAAGCAGGCAACACCCAGAGGGCCGCCCAGGGCGGGCAGGCAGCCGTTTCCCACCTGCTCCCTTAGCTCCTCTGCCTCCTCGACCTCCCCAGTTGCAGGGCCTGGCTGCCTCCATGTTCTGCTCATGGTCCAGCCAGAGCGCCTCTTCCAACAGCATCTGTTTTGTCCAAGAAAGCAGCTCTGTCAAGTTAGAGACCATGTATAGGGAAATGTTTTTTTTTTTTTTTAAGAAAAAAGAAAAAACAAAAATATTTATTTTGTGATTGTTTTTCTTGTCAATCAGCTCTAGCCACATGAACCTATGAGGTAAAACTGACCTGGTTTAATACATATATTTTTTTAAAAAGACCTTTTTTTAGGGGGAAAATGAGAGCGAAAAGAAGAAAAGGATAGTTTCCTGGGCTGCTTGGATTGTTAAAAATTGCTCTGTTTGTGACATGTGGGTGTCCCATGGATGGAGGATATTGCTGCTAGGAGGCTGGGTGATTAGTGAACACACAGGTGAAGGCATGTCTGGCTTGACTGTGTGTGTGAGAGAGAGACAGAGAGAGAGGTTGAGATGGAGATTCGATAAAGGATGGAGTGAGGCAGAACTCTGCCAGAGAATTATCTGGCTCATCCCACACCTTTTATCCCAGGTGCAAGGGCTGACACAGGTCCTGGAACCAAGACCACCCACTGTCAGGAGAAGAGTATGAAAGCTCTTACTTTTCAGGAAAACTGCAGCCATTGGTCTAGGGTAGATGCCTGCTGGGGGCGGGGGAGCTCCCCTTTGGCCACCATGCTGCGGACATCAGGAGAAATTTCCATACTCTGCATCTTATGGTCTGGGATCTCCCTTTGCTAAAATCAGGAACCATGCAGCTATGGCCTTGGTTTTCTCCCTTCTGTCTGATGACTACTTCCCCAGCCTAAAAAGCAGGTTTGACATAAGCCACACAGAATAATTCATCATTCTCCCTTAGTGCCTCCCTCAGGTGGTATGAGAAGCATTTCATAGCAAATCTTTTGGAGAACCAATTCCCTGTCTATTCTCCACATGATCCAAGTACAATGCGTAGGCATGACAACCCCCATTTTATTCAGGCGAAAGTCACCAGGTACATACTAAGTACCTCATTCCCTACCTCTGGTACATCTTGGTTGGTACAAAATGAACTGGGAGACAGAAAGGATGGTCATGTCTCTCTGCCCAGGGCTGTCTACATTTATTATTGTATAGAGAGAAGAATTCAGCATTCTATTACTGTACCATCAATCCAAGAAGACCTGAAATCCTTGGTAGACATAAGCAGCCTAGGGCATTTCTTTCTTTACAACTCCCCTAAAGGCTTTTAGTGTAGAAATCTGGAGTGATGGAATGATATTGGGTGCCTATTAATGCTTCAATCACTGCTTGCTTCAGGGAGTTTGTATCAAGTTCCTCTTCTGTGGAACATGGAACCAGCAGATGTCATTTTCATCAGTGGGGGTGTTGATGTGCCAGAGCAGTGTGCTTTTGTTGAGAAAGGGCTTGCAACTGGTGGTGAGGCTTTGATAGCCTTCCTGGATGGGGTTTGAGAGGTGTAAGGCAGATAGGAGAGTCTGGTTGTCTACATGCCATAGGAATGGGTGGGCAGAGGGTTTCACCCACAAATGAAAGGCACATCATGGATAGCAATGTTCAGAGTGTGGAGGACAGCAATCAAGAAAGTGTTGTGCACAAAATTAGCAGTTGGATCCTCAGTAGCATGAAGGTCATTGTCCCAGTGGGAACTGAGTCAGTACACGAGGGCTCATGTCCCACCTGAGCCAGTGTCCCAGCTGAGGGTAGGGGAGACTTCAGCTCTCAGTCTCTGAATTGGAGAGCGGACCAGGGAAGAGCCCACCTACAGGGTTATTAGGAAGGATGCTACATCTCCTTATCTCAGACTCCTTGTCTTAGGAAAGCTCTGGGAAGATTCTGGTGTGACATGGTTTTAAAAATACATGCATTCAGTTACAAAAATTTCCACATCTTGCCTGCTTCAAGGTTTAAACCATGAAGCTGAGTGTATCAACTCCATCTAAAAGTAGTATTTGTTTTAGTTGTTTGGTTGCTAAGTTGTGTTTGACTCTTATGCGACCCCATGGACTGTAGCCCACCAGGTTCCACTGTCCATGGGACTTATCAGGCAAGAATACTACAGTGGATTGCTATTTCCTCCTCCAGGAGATCTTCCCGACCCAGGGATTAAACTTGCATCTCCTGCATTGGGAGGCGTACTCTTTACCACTGAGCCACCAGGGAAGCCCAAACGTACTATTACAGGTTGGTAAGCATTTAGGAGTGTCCATCTGAGCCAAGAAGTAAGCACCATATTGATAGAAGGCCTAAAAGCCATTACTGATTATAGTTGTAGACAATTTTATATTTGACCTACTCAGCTGTTATCTGTGATGGATGCCTGATGCCTCTGTTCTGAGACAGTGATGGCATACCTGGTATAGAAGAGCTTGGATCAAAGCAGCAGACCAAAGACTCAGCTTCTAGAAGGCAGGTGGGAAGAAGAGGGAGAGTAAAGGATGTGTAGGTTTTCTTACAAGGCTTTTAAAGGCTTGACTTCAGTATGTGTTTCTCAGAGAGCTAGGCTGAAAAATGCCATAATAAGGAAAGGCCATCCCCAAATGTTTGCCTGAAGAGTCTACAATAATCAGAGGATGTGACTTACCTAGTCTCAGACACAGTTGCAAATAAAGAATTGTCATTAATTAATCACTACTAGGTTGTCAATGCTGGTGAACTCATTGTGGAATTAAAAGTCAAATCACAATTCAGTTAGTGGATATAACAATTGGAAATTCAAGTGTTAATTGTAACCCCTGAAGAACTAATACATCAAATGCTAATCTGCCCTAATACTTGAGACTAATACCACTAATACTAAATTATATATTTAACATCTTCTGCTGATAATACAATGCATACTCATGCATCCATAGCCAAAAAACAGAAATGAAGATTGCTTCTAATACTGGGTATCAGATATAGTTCAGATCTGGTTCCTGATAGGAAATATGAAAATAGTGAAATTTTTCTAAATTTCACTAAATATGAAAACTGTGATCATGATGGGCAGAACTGCCTTGAGTGGCCAGAAGACATTGCCTACATGGTGTCTTGCCCAAAAATAGCACTTCTAATATCTGTAATTTCATCATGTAAGTTTATTCTCTTACATACAAAAGAGACATTTTTGCTATTATGTTTTGTTTAAAAATAAAATATGCTGAGGAAGAAATAGTCAAGTTTAGCTCAATGGCAAACTAGAGGGTTAGATTTTTGGAACTGGAAGTTTTTTAGAGGTCATCCAGTCTATTGATTTCTGACATGAGGAAGAGGTGACAGAACTTTCCCAAGGTTGTATCTATTAACAGGACTAGGAATAGCAGTCAAATCTGCTTTCTCTACCTCTCTCTCTGCCAGTAAATGACATCTGCATCTTGGAGATGACAAGGACCCAGTTCAGGGCTTGGAAGTATGAGGATGGAGAAGCAAAGACCATTTTCCAGAAAGCAGAAGAGGACTACTGAAGAGGCAAGAATGGGACTTGCCTGGTGGCCCAGTGGTTAAGAATTTGTCTTGTAATGCAGAGAACATGGGTTTGATCCCTGGTCAGGAAACTAAGGCCCCACATGCCACAGGGCTACTAAGCCCATGCACTGCAACTAGAGAAACCCCTGTACCCTACAGTGAAGACCCAGCACAGACAAAATAAGTAAAGAAGTGAAAGAATCCTTACATCTTTCCTGGGGATTGTTTCTAGCAAAAATAAGCAGTGGCTATAACAAGTGAGAGAGAAAAGACTGAAGTTTCTCCCCTGGGAAGCTCTAAACACAGAGTAGACATGTTTCCATCTGAGATGGAGGGATGAACTTTCTAGTTTCCTGATGACTCTATCAGCTCAGTGGTTTTTAATTACAGCATCCTGTCACTAATTAGACTTTGAATATCTTTACAAATCTGATAGTTTCTGTAAAACATCTTCCATGTAAAGGTTAAAGGCATCTGGGTACCACTAACCTCCAAAGGCCTTAAACTATATAATCACCATGGCAACACTCTGCTGTGCACTAAGAGTCCTTGCTTCTTGCAGAGGAAGAGCAAGAGACTGTGGACCGAAGGAGCCATCCAAGACACAAAACTAAGGCCTGCACTCCAGATCTGGAAAGATAAGATGGGGAAATTCAGGTGGTATGACTAGGCTGAAGACACATACCTTTCTTCTGGTTTCTTATTCTGGTTCTGCCACCAGCCAGTTCTGTAACTGTGGACAAGTCACTCCACCTCTCTGGGAGTTTGTGTCCCTGTGGATAAGAGAGTTGGGTGTGCTCTGCGGGTACTGGGGAAAACTTCTAGGGCTATCCTTTTACGACATTCAAAGCAGGGTGATACAGAAGACACGTAAGCCATCCATCAGACAGACCTGGATTCCCATGTAGGCTCCACACTTATATTTAAGTGACCTTAATTCTTTTTTTTTTTTTTTGGGTATTTAACCTTATTGTTTTATTTGAATTTCTTTTTTTTTTTTTTTTTTTACATGTATTCCCCATCCCGGTCCCCCCTCCCACCTCCCTCTCCACCCGATCCCTCTGGGTCTTCCCAGTGCACCAGGCCCGAGCACTTGTCTCATGCACCCAACCTGAGCTGGTGATCTGTTTCACCCTAGATAATATATATGTTTTGATGCTGTTCTCTTGAAACATCCCACCCTCGCCTTCTCCCAGAGTCCACAAGTCTGTTCTATACATCTGAGTCTCTTTTTCTGTTTTGCATATAGGGTTATCATTACCATCTTTCTAAATTTCATATATATGTGTTAGTATACTGTAATGGTCTTTATCTTTCTGGCTTACTTTGCTCTGTATAATGGGCTCCAGTTTCATCCATCTCATTAGAACTGATTCAAATGAATTCTTTTTAAAGGCTGAGTAATATTCCATGGTGTATATGTACCACAGCTTCCTCATCCATTCGTCTGCTGATGGGCATCTAGGTTGCTTCCATGTCCTGGCTATTATAAACAGTGCTGCGATGAATATTGGGGTGCATGTGTCTCTTTCAGATCTGGTTTCCTTGGTGTGTATGCCCAGAAGTGGGATTG